AATAGTCATAAAATATTTGTGCAGTTTTTTCCTCAAATAGTGAGTTCTCCTCTGATCATTGCCACCTCATCAAAATACACACCAAAACAAAAACTACAAAAAAAAAAAAGTTAGACCAGACAGACTAGCTATTCTTAACTAATTAAAAACATACCATATTCAAAAATGGTACTTTAATTATAAAATTTATTAAATATAATCAATGAAGTAAATGCAGATTTTGCAAGTGTGTGTGATTTGAACTGGATGATGGTGTGCTTGAAAAAAATGTATTTCAGCAATTTATCTTTCATTTGGAACCCTGGCACCACTTACGAATGGCTGCTCCAGTACTACTGGCTACTACGCAGAGAGCACCACCCACTGTCCACCATGTTGGCATATCATTAAAGAAAATAATCTGAAAGATAAAAGCAAAGACTACATCCATAGCCTTCATTATTGCTACTAGCCCTGCTTTTTCAATCTGAAGGGCTTTTGTGAGAAATACTTGACCTCCTAAACCAAACAGTCCAATGAGTATGAGAAATAGCCTGTCCAATCCACAGTAAGGCAGACTCCATTCTCCTAATATAAATAGGATGATGACACACTCCACGAGGCCAAGTATTACGTAATACCAAATGGTCAAAAAGTAGTCCACAGATTTTCCCATCTTTCTTAGGATAACTAATGTCAATGCAGCTAACACGGCATGTCCAATTGCCGCGAATGTTCCCTTAAGATGGACTGAATAGCTTTCTCCCATCCTCTCAGTGTTGGAACCAAACAAAAATGGTGGTCGCACAATAAAGATCACTCCAGTGATTGCAAATAGGGTGAAGAGAGCATCCCAAAGGCTGTATTTTTCTTTGAGAAATATACAAGCAAATATAGATGTAAACACTGGACTGCTGAATGTGATGACCGTGGCATCTGCGAGGGATGTTGCCTGGAAAGCATAATATATAAGGATCATGGCAGTAGAACCAAGGAGTCCTCTGAGAATGAGGAAAATCCGCTGATCTTTTGGACCTATAAACCCAGTTCTGTAAATACAAACAAGAAATGCATATTAAATAAACTCGGTAACAGTCTTTAAATTATAATTTTTAATTGAAAATTATTTTTTAAATCCTAAATGTAAAATATAAAAGAATGATAAATTATGGTAATATCCACAACTAAATATTATACAACTTTTAAAAATAATGTTTTCTAAGTACAACTAATAACATTCAAGTGTTCATAGTATAAGCAAAATTAGTACAACGGAGAATTACATAAATTCCATAACTCAATAAACACACGTATCATTTCCCCCATTTAAAAAAAAAAAAAGTCTACAGCCATCAAGTCAATTTTGACTCATAGCAACCCTCATTTGGTTTCTGAGGTGATAACTCTTTACAGAAGTAGATTGCCCACTCTTCCTTCTATGGAATGGCTGGTGGATTTGAATCACCAACCTTCTGGTTATCAGCCA